AATTCGATATAGAGTTTGTGGCAGGGTATTTAATTTTTCTTTTTCCTCATCTGTAAACTAGAGGAAAGGAATGACAAAATCTTTCTTATAGAGTTGTTATGAGCATTGAATGAGTAAATATTTTGTTAAGAATTTACCACCATCCCTCCTGGTATGCAACAAGTGCCTGTACCTGGATAGGGACAGGGGATGGACAGCCCGATGCACCAGAATTTACAATCTTAGCTCATTCTCTTTCTGTTTAATGGCAGCTTGGGATAATTTAGAAATACAGTGTTAGAGATGGAAGGGCCTTAAAGACTGTTTAGTCAACAATTTCATGTTATAGATGAAGAGCTGAAATCTAAAATAAGACTGTGACTTTCTGAAGGCCACTTAATGAAACATCTAGAACAATACTCTCCATGTCCATTTTCTAAGTTCTGGGTCATACCATCACACATACATTCCTATTACTCATCTCTCTATTTTTATTTCTGGCAACTTCTCAGTAGGGGTGAAACATGCTTGGTAACAAATCTGCTGTGAAGATACCAGAGAAGTTCATTTTCTCATTGAACCCTTTTAGAATGTCATGTTGATTGAGGAAAATAGGGTGTGTGGAGCAAAGCATGGAAGAGATTGTTCCAATGTTTCTATTATGTAGACATGGCCATGATTTATTTCAGTAACCATCTTTGTAAAGAATGAGCTCCTTGAACCTAATGTTCAAATAAGAAAGTCATCTATTTATTTGACTTATAAGAATGAACATAGAAGCAAGATTTGGATGTGCATGTTTGTGAAGTCATTATGCAATGAAATGCAAAGACAGACAATTTAATGCCTTTTATGGATCAGGTTAATGCTTGCTGTGCCTGAAGCTTCCCCATTTGACAAATAAGAACTTAGATTTATCAAATGTTAAACACATGGCTTTAACGGTTCGTATTAGGAGAATTCCTGAGGGATTTGCACTAGTTGTGAAGTTGTATTCACTTCACTTGATTTCTTTTCTGTGGTTCTCCTATTTCCCTTTGGGATGTGTTTCTTGTGTCTGTTATTGCTTTGAAGATTTTTCGTTTCTATCTCATGCTTAACACCTGCCATTGACTCCTTGTATAACTTATGAGAAATGAATGGCATTCTTCCCCCGGGTATAAAGTAAATATGTGCTGATTTAGAAAAAACGATGTATATTTTCCCCTTATTTGTACTAAAATAAGACTTCACTTTTTGGTGTTGATAAATTTTTGGAAACTTAATTTTTTTTTGTATCCTCAAGTATTTTTTACTTTGTGGAACAAAGCAAAAATGACAGACATCCTGTGATGTTGCTTTTAGACAACAATATATTCGTGAGAATGTTAAATAAAGGGATAACTTGAGACCCCAGGAAATTCTTTTAGGGTACGATTTGATTCTCAGTTATCTTTATAAATTTCAATTTTATTTTTATGGTGATAAATATTTTATAACAATTTGAACTTGAAGTGGGACATACATATTGTCATGCTGTAAAAAGTGATATCCAAGGCAGCATTTAGGGCCCATTCTTGAATGCTTGACTGGCAGTCATATGGAGAGATCATCTGTATCTTTTGGTTTCTTTCTGTCAGTTTGTAAGTGGCAAGAGCAGTATGTTTTAAGTATAAATTGATCTGCATTGATATAAATAACAGAGAAAATTATATTGGTGAATTTGCTTACAAAATGAATCACTGGAAAGTGTTCAGTCTGTATTTCTGGGGTTGCATCTGTTCTTTTTCTGTTTTTATTAATCTTGAATGATTAAATAGAAAGCAGGATAGAAGAAAAAAAAAACAACAACATTGTGGTTTGAACAAAACTTACGTTCAAAGGGATATTTCTTACTTCCTTACATGAAACCTTCACATCGGCCCTTCTGGCAGAGCTCTTCTTTCTCAAATTTTCTTTTCTTTTTTTTTTTTTTTTTTTTTTTGAGACAGAGTCTTGCTCTGTAGCCCGGGCTGGAGTGCAGTGGCCGGATCTCAGCTCACTGCAAGCTCCGCCTCCCAGGTTTACGCCATTCTCCTGCCTCAGCCTCCGGAGTAGCTGGGACTACAGGCGCCCGCCACCTCGCCCGGCTAGTTTTTTGTATTTTTAGTAGAGACGGGGTTTCACGGTGTTAGCCAGGATGGTCTCGATCTCCTGACCTCGTGATCCGCCCGTCTCGGCCTCCCAAAGTGCTGGGATTACAGGCTTGAGCCACCGCGCCCGGCCTCCTTTCTCAAATTTTCTAACCCTTTCTCAGTTGGAGCAACTACCTTATAACTTTTATGAATATTACCATTACCACCACCATTCAAACCTTTATCCTTTTTAAGTTAGAAAAAAACCCCACAAATCTCTTAATCACTTCAGAATTATGTTTTAATTATAAACAGATTATTTGATAAATAAAAATAATGTTCTAAGGGAGCTTGGGTGGTGACTTTGGCAAATAGCAAATGTATGTGTTGCAGTAGCGATGATTATCTTCAAAAAATAATTAGGCTGGTTGCTTGATGTCCTACTTCTGAATATCTTCCAAAATTAGCAAAATACATTTAAGGCTACAAAGAATCATAGTTGGAACAATTTATGCATCATTTTTGGGGTGAAGGAAATTTATAAGACTGCTTCTTTCCAAGCTAAAATGACCATGGTAAGATCTATAAGGACAGAGGAAAAAGCCGAACCCTTTTTACCATTTTCATGTGTTCTCAGTGTTATCTCCTGGTGCCACATTGACTGAAATTGCTCACCGCTCCCACTTACCTTGCATTGGGTGTAATGTGAAGAAAAAATATAAGTTATTTAGTCATAAGGTTTCTGTTATAATATCACATTTTCATTTTTTTCATAATTTTTTGCGCATTATAAATTGTATTATTTTGCCATTTTGCCTATGAACCCTAGATAAATGGTGAAAATATAGGACTTGGGGTTGACTAACATTTCTCTAGTTTTCTTTAGTGAACCATTATGTATATATCTCATTGCATGCATTTCACTTAATGATTGCTCACTCTCCTCTAAATAAGTTTTGCTGACATCAATGGCCATGTGGAACAAATTATTGATTCCTTCTCCCTCCCATATTTTAATATGAAAAGTCCCAGGCTTGGTCTTTGACCATGGTTCCTTTCTCTATTTTTTTATTTGAAATGGAGTTTTGCTCTTTCACCTAGGCTGAATTGGAATGAAGTGGCTCACTGCAACCTCCACTCCCTGGGTTCAAGTGATGATCCTGTCTTGGCCTCCTGAGTATGTGGGATTATAGGCACCCACCACCATGCCTGGCTAATTTTTGTATTTTTAGTAGAGACAGGGTTTCACTATGTTAGCCAGGCTAGTCTCAAACTCCTGACCTCAGGTGATCCACCCGCCTCGGCCTTCCAAAATGCTTGGATTACAGGTGTGAGCCACTGCTCCTAGCCTCCCTTCTGTATTCTTACCCCTTTGCTGTTCTCTTCCAGGCTCAGTCTTAAATATATGCGTGTGTGTGTGTGTGTGTGTGTGTGTGTGTGTGTGTGGGCATGTGCATGCATGTGTATATGTATATTTTTGGCATATATATACATATATATTTTACATTTATAATTTTAGTTTGAACCTTTTTCTGAACTGTAGACGTAGATATCCAATTGCCTACTCAACGCCTCCACTTAACTATCTAATTTGAATTTCAAACTTTACATGTCTGAAATAAAGCATATCCCTGCCCAAGCCTGACTTCTAAGTAGACTGTCCCATCTTAGTTAATGGAAACTCCATTCTTTTAGGGGATCAGACTTAAATCATCCTTGGCTTTTCTCTTTCTTTTATACCTCATATCTCATTTGCCATCCAATTTTAATGAGTTTACCTTTTAAATATATTCAGAATCCACCTATTCCTACCACCTTCATTGCTAATTCCTTGCATCAAGCCATCCTCATCTTTCCCCTTGGTTACAGCAGTAGTCTTCTAATATTGATCTTTTGTCCTTGTCTCCTCCCTGCTTCCCTTCACTCCAGTCAACTCGCCAGCAGGAGTCATCATGTTGTCATTCTTTTGAGACATAGTCAAGTCATGACACTCCTCTTCATGGAATTCTCCATTCCCATCTCACTTGGAAAATAACCAAAGGTTTTACAATGACCAAGAAGGTCATAACTGATCTGGCTTCCCATAACCTTTTTGACTTTTTCTCTTGCTTCACTCCTCACTCATTTGGCTGTAGTCCATTGATGTCCTTAAAAATGTCAGACACTCTTCTATGTGGGTTTTCTCTTTGACTGACATGAGCTTCCTCAAAATATCTACAAGGCCTACAAAGCTAGTTTAAAGTATTTTATCAAATATCACCTTGTTAGTGAGGACTTCCTAAACACCATACTGACTTTTTTTTTTTTTTAAGTCATAACACCCTCATTTCTCAGGCACACCTTAACTCCCTTTTCTGATTTTTTGACTCTATATAGCATTTAGCACCATCTAAAATTTCATTATTTTACTTATCTTTTGGAGTGTCTATTTTCTGCACTAGAATGTAGAGAATAAACTCTATTAAAGGCAAGATATTTTGACTTTTTTAAAACCACTCTATCTCCTATACTTAGAATAATGCTTGGCACATAGTAGTATTGAATACATATTTATTGAAAGAATAATATGAAATGAAACTATCATAGTTTGTGTGCTTTTTCTTTAGTGAATTTGAAGGAAATATAAAATGTTATGAAAGCAACACCTGTCCAGGATTTGGAATGGCATCAGTATTTATTAGAAATGTGATCACAAGTAAATCCCATAAACACTTTAAATTTTAGTCATCATAAGTATAATTATGGAGCTTAAATGAGATAATGTATGTGAAAATGCTTGTTAACTGCTAAGCATTTTACTAATGCTATTAGTGTGTTTTTCCCTTAGGATTGAATTAACTTAATCTTATGAATGGATTGATTTTATTAGTACTAGATTAACCTCTCTATATTTGTTCTTTAAATCATTTTCTCTTAAGTGTTTGTGATCCCTTTTCCAGATTAATGTAAATACTTATGATTGGTTAGGCATTAAGCAGTTACTGAATGTTTACTACTGGTATGCATGATACAATAACTACAGTCTAATGAGAATATGCATATTTCATGTGTTTCCAAAATCTATTTTTAAATAGTTAGTTAATTTATATTCTTTACTTGTGTCATGATCTCCTCTAGGTGTTCTACATGTATGAAGTTATTTAATACTTTTAACAACTTTATGAGGTGAGTACTATTTTCTATATTTTGCTGATGAGAAAACTGAGATACAAACAAGTTAATTTGTTCAAGGTCATAATTTATATCGCCTGTGTGTGGACACATGTGGTTGTATGCTTAAAAGTAAAATAATTTTAAGATTAGTAGTATAGTTTTAAAAAGAAACATTATAGTTGCATACTAAGTAGTTATGTGACTAAATACAACTATTGGCTGATCTTTTCTCATTCATACAGTATAACCTGTGTGTGTTTTGAGTTGCTAAGATCTTGATATTCTTTCTGAAGTGTCATTGTGTTAGTCCTTAGAATTCATTTTAAAGAATAGAATGTTTTGTAATTTCAATATACAAAAAAATTTGGCTTATGGAAACATTTCCACTTCTCACCAGTGTGTCCACAGGATCCTAAAGTACGATTAGTGGGAGAGGGCTATTTGTTTTCTGCCATGTTTCTGCTGTTGTCTTGGCCTTGCTTCCTTCTTGGCTTTATCTGCATTTTTTTTTCTATTAAGGGTGTTCACTTTCACTAAGACTATATCTTAAAAGTAATCAGAAGAGATCCTGATCCATTTTTTTTTAATTTTTAATTTTTTTTTATTTTTTATTTTTTTTGAGACAGAGTCTCGCTCTGTCGCCCAGGCTGGAGTGCAATGGCTGGATCTCAGCTCACTGCAAGCTCCACCTCCCGGGTTTAAGCCATTCTCCTGCCTCAGCCTCCGGAGTAGCTAGGACTACAGGCACCCGCCACCTCACCCGGCTAGTTCTTTTGTATTTTTTAGCAGAGACGGGGTTTCACCATGTTAGCCAGGATGGTCTCGATCTCCTGACCTCGTGATCCTCCTGTCTCAGCCTCCCAAAGTGCTGGGATTACAGGCTTGGGCCACCGCGCCCGGCCCAGTTCTTTTCTTCTTACAATTGCTGTTCAATTCCATACTTGGATAAATACGTATTGGAGGAACCTTCTGAAAAATTGGATACAAAGTCATTGGTCATTATATATGGTTATCCAGAGCACAAATATTATTTGAGAATCTACTATGTAGCAAGAATTAGGTAAGATAGGCAAAATTCTTACTCTTGAAATTTAGTTGGGAGGCCAATATGGGAAGATAATGAGTTTTCTGTTAATAAATTCTGGGAAGAAAATAAGGCAAAGTGATAAGAGAGTAACTGGGTGGCCCTTAGGCGTACATGAGCTAATCATGTCCAGATCAGAAAGCCTAGCTGGCCAGAGCACAGTGACTAGAGCAGAAGGCAGTGCAAGATGAATTCAGAGTGGCAGGTAGGGGACAGAGATATTGATCCTTATGGGCAAGAAAAAGAATTTGAATTTATTTATGATTGAAAGCCATCTATAAGCCAGGGAATAACAGAAGCTTAATCATGCTTAGAAAATTCATTCTGGCTTCAATGTGGAGAATGAGAACTGGGGTCATGGGAAAGAAGATGTGTGCTCCATGGGTTCTTTGAGTTGACCTTTGGCAGATACACACTAGGTGAGTAGCTTTACCTCCATTTATACCTCTCTATGAAAGAACAGAATAATTTTTTGTCCACAAATCTTTGACATATATGCTATCTTAATCTTTTACTTACATTTGCTTTTGACAAAATACTAACTTATATTTACCTCATATAGAGTTAAGCATATTTGGATTTTGATGATTATTCGTTAAATTCATTCTGAAATGAAAATTAAAAAAAAAATCTAACATTACATGATACATGATATAACGTGATATTTCAGGGTTTTTTTTTTTTTTTGGATGGAGACATACTGTCACTCTGTCGCCCAGGCTGGTGTGCAGTGGTGTGATCTCGGCTCACTGCACCCTCCGTCTCCCAGGTTCAAGTGATTCTCCTGCCTCAGCCTCCAGAGTAGATGGGATTACAGGCACCTGCCACCACGCCTGGCTAATTTTTGTTTTTTTCAGTAGAGACAGGGTTTCACCATGTTGGCCAGGTTGGCCTCCAGCTCCTGACCTCAGGTGATCCACCCAACTCGGCCTCCCAAAGTGCTGGTATTACAGGCGTGAGCCATCACACCCAGCCTCAAGGGGCCTTTTGATATGGTAAAGTCATTGAACCTTTTTAATGTGATGTACTTTGAATTGTTACATTGTTCCTAATAATAGTATACAATGGTACCACAGAACTGGGCGATTTCCTGCAGCCTTATGCAACATTGCACTGGTGAGATATGAGATCATGTCATGAATTCCAGGAGTGTAATTTATAAGATCCTTTATTCAATTTTGCCCAGTGTCATTTAGTAAACTTGCCTGAAGGACTATGTAGAAAGTAAGGTATGATTTCTCCTATCTCAATTTTTTTCATTCATTTTAATTAAAATGAAAAAGAGTAAGAAGATACTTGGTTTCTCTGAAAGTGGCCCTCTCTTTTTACTTCATATTGTTTTCAAGAAGTCTGTTTAGTTTTTAGGGATATTATTATTGACATAACTCTTCAGTTTTATGAAAATGTTCCAGTTGTTTGTGGTTTCATCTCCACCCTTTATTCATAGTAGTCACAAGAAAGAAAGCAACAGCCATACTTTTTAAGGTCCAGTAGAAATATATTTATTGATAGAAATGAATTGCAAAGGACAGCATGCAGAAATTTTTATATAGTCTCAAGTGATAATGATAGAAATTGTTTTTGACATAGTGTTTCAAAAAATGCTGTAGAAAATCAGAATAAAAAAGTGATGCACCTAACTTGTTTTTACATGCGTCACAGAGTATCACTTTGGCCTATTCTGTTCAGTACAGTGGAGAATAGAGCATCTGAATATGGGTACCACAAAAAGCCAGATCTTATAATTAAGTGGCATTTATTTATTTTCTGGATACACAATCAAGGAGTAGAGAGACTATTTTGTAAATTTCATATATGCATATTAAAGGTATTATGTAGTTTTCTGACATTATATAACTGGTTTCAATCACAAAAGGAAAAGTAGGGTATTTGTTTTCTATATCCTAAGTTTCATTCTACAAGAGACTAAGGTATAGTACAATTACTAGGCTATTGTCTAAAGAAGACACCAGAAGCTTTACCTTGGGTTTCTGCAACATGGACTTAGGATGAGTAGGTTACATGCTGTCATGGGTTACACTTATAATGGATGAGTCTATAACCACTGCTGTTCTCCTCTTTCTCACTCCTACTGGCAGCCAATGGGCCTCACTTGCAGTTTTCAACACTTAGTAGAACGGATACCAATACCGATACAAGCCTGTTTAGGGTCAGTGTAATGGTCCCTTTAGGAAAAAGTGACTCATACCAGCCACTGCAGTGTGGCTCTGTGATGCAGCTTTCAACCTGATGATGCTCTCTTTGGAACACCAACAATATACCCTCATGGGTGCTAGATAAGATAGAGGAGGCTGAGGGTCCTGGACAAGAGGTTTCTCAAATCATGAGCTTTAGAACTGCAATAACACACAGGAAAAGATAGCTGCAGACAATATCTAGTGCAAATTTTACATAGCACAATTGCCACTGGAAAATACAAAAATATAGTTTAAAAAGAACATTAAATTCCATGTGCACATATACTCATGAAACTATTTGTTTATTAGACAAATTCTAAATAGATATACATGATGCTGAAATTACAATGACTAATGATTAAGTGTATCTCACAAAGTAATTTTAATTTTTATGTACTTTACGTAAAAGGGATACATTTATTTAAAATTTCAAAAAGTATAAAACCCTCAGAAAATATAAAAGCCATTCACAATATCAACAGTTAGGAAAGTAATTGTTATCTATTTGGCATATTTTTGACCAGTGATTTCCATAAATATACAAATATGAATAACATATACAGTTACAAGTATAGAACTATATCCATTTTAAGAAACATAGAAACAAGCAATATTTTATGTACTGTCCAAATATTAATTAGTTAGATCTTCATAAAAACCCTATAAGATAAGGACTATTAAGCAAATTAACTTCAATGTTCATTAATGGATAAATAGATAAGCAAAATTTGGTATAGCTGTACAATGGAATATTATTCTGCCATGGAAAATAATGGAGTACATACTGCTTTTTTAAATTCTGCAATGTGGATCAAACTTGAAAACATTATGTTAGGTGAAGAAGCCAGGTGAAAAGCTTATGCATTATATGATTCCTTTTATATGAAATATCTAGAATGTGTAAAAAGGGACAGAAAATAAATTAATTGCTGGGAAATGAAGGGGAGAAGGTAGTATGGAATAACTCAATGTGATACAGTGCTTTTCTGGGGTAATGAAAATAGTTTTGAAACTAGAGAGAGGTGATGGTTGCAAAGCATTGTGTATGCACTAAGTGTCACTGAATTGTACAGTGAAAAATGGTTAATTGTGTTATATGAATTTCACCTCAATTAAGAATACAGAAAGAAACTGAGGCAGAAAGAGTTTAAGTAATTTGCCCAAGATTACAAGGCTAGTAAGTTGCAGATTTAGGATACAAACTCAGGCAAACTGCCTCCATGTACTGTGCACTTAAATATAATATGCTGCTGAAAATAGAATTTTATTTCTTGCTTTTAACTTGATGATGTTATAAACAATCTTTCTTACCATTATGTAAATCTTTTCAAAAATTTCCATTTTTAAAATAGAAAATAAATGTAACCAGCATACTTCTGCACTTAAAATATAAGGTCTTAAATAAGACTGCTTTTTGTTCAGTGTTTTCTTTCTTGAGGCTCCGGGACCAATGACCTGAGGGTAGAGGCAGTCATGTATGTTATTATTTCCTGTCCATATAGCAGATCTAGGAAACTCCTTACTTTGAGGTAAGAAGATAGGGACAAAAAGAGAAAAGCTGGCTTCATCTATTGCTCATTTTTTTCCTGGCAGTAGAGCTCTGCTTGTTAAAAGAGTCTGATGGGGTGCAGAGAGGCTCTTCCATATCAGGTAGAAAAGTTTTGGACATATTCAAGGGATCTGGCTGATTCCACAAAATGGGGTTGTTCAGATTAACCATGGCACTTCCAACCAGTGTAAACAGGTGCATGAAGAAATTAGAGAATTTCCTTTCAACTGTCCATTGTCAAACATCATGTCGTTGGCAGTGGGGATGGATATGGGGGCAGAGTAAGTATAGGAGGCACTAAGATAAAAAGTCATTTTTTTTTTCAAATTATTTGAAGCTAAAATAAGTGATCCAGAGATATTATTTATCCAATGAAAGTTTTTTTTTTAAATAAATGTATGCCATATTGAAAATATCTATGTTATACTATTGGAAGAAATCGGAACAACCTATCATTGCATATAGTAGGACTTAAAAAATAGGATAAGAAAGGCAGAAAACAAAGTTTGACTAGTGCAATTTCCAAAAGATATATAGCAAATGTTAGTCATAATTATTCTTTGGAAGGTGTCAATATTATTGATTTTCACTACCTTATACTTCTTTCTTTGTATCTTTTGTGATTTCTATAAATGACATTATGTTGCTGTTCAATAGACAAAAGTGCTGAAAAGTAATTACAAAGGAATAAGCCATTTCACTAGATTTTGCAAATTTAGAACAAATGCATTCATGAGTATATATTTATTGAGTGTCTATTATGTGTCAGGTACCATGCTAGGCTCTAAGTATTCGATGATGGGAAAAATAGATATGATCTTAGTACTCAGCCAACTTACCATTTGGGAAGCAAACAAGAAACAGATCTTTTCTCAAATACTCCTCAACACTACCCCATTCTCTCCTATTTAAATTCTCTTTCACTCTTCCTCCTCTCCTTCCTCCTCCTCTCCTCCTCCTCCCCTTCCCTCCATCCCCCATGCCCTCCCATTTCTTTCCTTTCTTCTCTTTTCTCTCCCTCTCCTCCCCTTCCCCTTTTCTCTCTCTTCCTCTTTCATCTCCTCCTCCTCTTCTTCTTTCCTCTTTTTCTTTTCCCCTTCTTCCTCCTTTTTCTCCTACCCCTCCTCCTTTCCTCTTTTTTGGGGGGTTCTTATTCAGAACCCCTCCTACCCCCTAAAATGGCACATGGAGAACCAAGAAAGAATGGGATAGAATGAGTTATAGAGAGCGTTACAGAGACGTGAGGGCCAGACTTTGCATCCTATGTCCTTTCTATGGCTAAAGAAGCAGTATACCGGCAATTGGAAAGTACTGACAGATTTAAGCAGATCAATTTATATCTTGCACAAAAAACAGTGATTGAAGGAGAATAACAAATTAGAGAAAGATACATTTGGAAGTTAAGAGACAGAAAGGAGGCTATTGCAGTGGTCCAGGTGAGAGTGAATGGTAGCATTCCGGTGACAATGGAAGAGGAGGAAACAGAACAGTTAGCAAGAGAATTTCATCATTTGGAATAAGATGGGGTAGTTTTTCCCAACGTTTCTTCAGACCTTTGGCACAATACCTTCCTGATATGACATTGGCCCTGGAAAAGAAGCACCGGGACAAAGATTCAGCCTTTTTCTGTTCCCCATTCCCTCTTTAATAATGTCACTGTTATAAAATTAAAGCATTGTTTATTACCGTTTTTCAATTTTTTTTTTTTTTTTTTTTTTGGATAAGGGCTGCTGTGTCACCCAGGCTGGAGTGCAGTGACATGATGACAGCACAATGCAGCCTCAATCTCCTGGGCTTAAGTGATCCTCTCACCTTAGCCACCCTGGTAGCTTGGACTACAAGCGGGTGCCACCATGACCAACTGATTTTTATTTTTAATCTTAGTAGAGACTGGGTCTTGCTATGTTTCCCAGGCTTATTTTGAACTCCTGAGCTCAAGCAATTTTCTTGCCTCAGTCTCCCAAAGTTCTGGGATTACAGGTGTGAGCCACCACACCCAGCCTATTTCTATTTTTTTTCCTTTTTTTTCCATTAAATACTGCTTAGTCTAGTAATCAACAGCTTGACTGCTTGTAGACACATGCTATTCTTTTCCCTGTAGTAATATTCCTAAAAATCAAAGAATTGCAAAATTTCCTTTTCTGTATTGAACTAGGAAATTTAACATTTCCTACTGTTTATTATACCCCCAAGAATTATAGCACTGAAATTTTTAAAAAGAGAGATCTTTAAATAATTTGCACCTGTCTATAAAAATCCTTGAGTTTAGTAATGCTTGCAATGGGTTTTGGAATGGTAGATTTAATTGGAAAAAATAACCTTCCATGAAGTATTATTACATGAATCAATCCAGTATATTTAATTGCAATTTTTTTCAAAGTCATATATTGACAAGAAATTATTCTCACATGGATTTCACCCAAGTCTTAGTTTTATTTTCTGCAGGGATTATATCTGGTCCTGCAGAACACCTAAAACAATATCAAAATCAAAGGTCAGCAATTCATTTTGGTTGAGGTCCATAAATGTACTATTAAAGTTTTAAATCAATGAAGAACCTAAGGAATATATATTAGCTTTTCATAGTATTAAATGATGCTAGAAACATATAGCTTTGTCTGGAGCTGCCATTTGTTCTTCTTATTGGTTTCCTTTTTAGTTTTCCCCTCACTCCTTGTCTCCCTATGTTACAGTAATCTTTGCCTGTCTTTTTTCTCACAAACTGGACTGTTTTACACTTGACACTCAGAATACTCCCCTCTTCATGTCGGCAGAGCAACAAAGGCAAACTTTGGCAACAACTTGATTGTCTAACTGAAATGAGCTGAGCTTTGGAAAAGTGGAAAAGAAATATGCCTTTTTTTCGCTGTATTTCAGAATGCTGAAAGAATGAAATGGACGCATGTCAGCCCAAAGACATAAAGCGAAAGAAACCACTTCATGTCCAGAAGCATGTCCTAGAAGACAACTGCTAAAGACAAGGGAGTAGTAAAGAAAAGAAAAAAAAAAAAAAGAAGAAGGAAAAAAAAGTCTTCAAAGCAAATGAAAAGAAACAGACAGTTCTTCAAAACAAGAGAGGAAATTGGAAAAAGAACATTTGTGGAAGAAAAAAAGCATGTGGAATTTCTCTAAACAGAAGGTACAAAGAGAACTCTTATATGTAAGAGTATATCAAAGCAATTGATGGGATGGGATGATGATTATTACAGGCACGAGGAACTGCAAGTGCAAAAGGCTGAGGGGAGAAAGATCTTTAACTGTTTTGGAAGTCAGAAGGCTCCTGTGGTCCAGTACAGAAAAGGAGGAGGCAAGTGGTCCAAGAAGGAATGGAAAGGGGCTGGTACCAGATTACAGATGGCAGAAAGAGTTTCTCAAACCCTTTGTGGTGAAAGACTATTCTCTTAAAATCTATGATTTGTAGTGGAATGACATGGGGGTCTATTCTTCAAAACCTGTGTGCCCACCAAACCACACACAACCTAACCTATGATCCCAGCAACACTAGAACTGGTCTATACTATTGCAACACAACGAGTTCACTGCTCCCATAGATAGATGTCATAGTACTGTCAAATTAGTATAAACATTCTAAATGATTATCTTTTTTTTTAATTATTATACTTTAAGTTCTAGGGTACATGTGCACAATGTGTAGGTTTGTTACATATGTATACATGTGCCATGTTGGTGTGCTGCACCCATTAACTCGTCATTTATCTTAATTTTTGTACTTATCATTTCATAGATTGGCACCAGTTCATAAAACACACTTGAAGTTGCATTGCTATAAGGAAGTTTGATTTTATCCAAGGTTCAATGATAAGTCACATAAGGGTTTTCTAAAGCTGAGAAAGATTAGCGGATTTGCATTTTGAATCCCAAACAACAGCAGGCAAAGGACATATTATAGGCAGGCAGGGGTAGAAGTAGGCAGTGTAGGAGATGATTGTAATAATGAGGTTGAAATCACAGGTATTGACTATGAAGATAGATAGATGGGTTCAAGATATATTTTGGTAATAGTACTAACAGGACTTGTTGATAGTTTGAATGGGAAAATTGAGGGCAAAGCAAGAATCAATGATAATTCAAAGATTTTGTCTGGAGCAACTGGGTGTTGTATATCACATACTGAAATGGGGAATAGAGAAGGAATGGCTTGGGATGGACATGAAGTTGGTATAATCAAGAGTTTGATTTTGGGCTGGGTGCAGTGGCTCACACCTGTAATCCCGCACTTTAGGAGGCCAAGGCAGGCAGATCACCTGAGGTCAGGAGTTCAAGACCAGCCTGACCAACATGGTGAAACCCCATCTCTACTAAAAATACAACATACGCTGTGTGTGGTGGCGCATGCCTGTAATCACCACTACTTGGGAGGCTGAGGCAGAAGAATTGCTTGAATCAAGGAGGCAGAGGTTGCAGTGAGCCAGGATCACACCATTGCACTCCAGTCTGGGTGACAAGACTGAAACTGTCTCAAAAACAAAAGGAAAAAACAAGTTTGATTTTGGTGATGCTAGCTATACATGGATTAGGACTGTCATTTGTTTAAAAGATTGTCCCTCTCTAATTGGGATAAGACAAGATACTTGTATCCCTGATCCCAGAATTCTGAGCAATCATCTCCAAAGTGGTTTTGAGGAACTAATAAAATTATGTGACAGTAATACTATTACTACACAATAGATAGGCTTCTGTGCATGGTTAACAGTTACCGGTGGGTAGATAAATTACTAACCTATAAGCAGAAAGAGTTCCCAATATGTATGCAGCATCTCAAAAATGTCCCATTAGCCTTTTATGAATCAAATTTATTTCTGTTTTGGATTAGAAAAAGTGGTTTTGTATTTGAAGTTGCATTGCAAGTGTAGCTTCACAATAGGATCTAAATGGTAGAAATGAAAAAAAAGTATCATAAAATACCTTAGCTTATGGGAAAGAGTGCCAGAAAGGAGAAATAGAGACAAGTCAGCAACTTCCTTAGAGTTCCAGAGAATAACCTTTGAATTCCTACTAATTAGCTACAAAGGTCCTAGAAAATTTGACCCCATAACTGCCCTGTTGAACTTTGCTAAGCATGGGTAGCAATTTAATTCTCTGGTTGGCTGGTAAGGACATTACAAGCTATCTGAAGAATTTGTCATTTACTGAGAAATTTCCCTGTAGTACACATGACAACGTGAACTCAATACCTCAACAAACACCCAGTTGTCTCTTTACCAATACTATGTAAAATATTATGCTTGATGTTACCAAAACAAGACTCACTATGTCGTGTCATTTGTTACACTTTGGGATTATTCTTACTCTGATGGGGCTTGTCCTTAAAAGTTCATATATTTCCATTCTGGTACATGTAAAGTTTGTTTTCTAAATCTGTTTCTAGACTAACTTTTCTCTCTGACTACAGGTTTACACATTATTTCTCCAGCCTTGAGCTTCAGTAGAAATGAGCACAGAGCGCAAATGGTGAATCTAATGCTCCAGATTGTAGAAATAATTTCAAACTGTCATCATTGATTATTTTATTTTTAATGCATATCACTTTATAATGAGAGAAGAAATTTACCTAATTCTCTCTAGTTTCTCTTTCCTAAGGAAGTTCCTAGTGCATAAAGCAAAAGTTAGTTGTTTTATCAGGAAAATCATTGAAAATTATAATTTACTTTGCAGGCCCACCAATTTTCTAAGAAAGTTCAGTAGTAGGAACACATATCCTTAAGGAATGCGTTTAGTCATGGTTGAAAAACTTAAATATGACAAATTCTTAACTTTGAAGACAAGGGTTGACAGAGGCCAACTACTTCAACTTCAAAGATGATGACAAAAGCCAGCATTAATTGTTGCTAAATGTATTAGACACATCCTTTATTCCTAAGTGGATCACATCTGCATGGTGAGAGCTTTCTCAGGGATGCTATTGTATGCACTGTATTGGATTTTTTACTCTGATTTATCTCAGGAAACACAGTTGTAATGACTACATTTTGATCAAGGTTTTGGCTAGTAGCTTTGCTAGCTCCCAGGTTCTAATGCCCACAGGTAATCCATTTAAGATAGTATTTTTTACTCTCATCCATGGAAGAAATTCCATCCAAATGTGTATTGTGGACTCTCTTTTCATGCCTTTGAAAAAAACTTGTATACCAAATATAAATATTTCTCTCTAGGTGAGATTAGACTCTGCTGAGCTAGTATCTATAACTATCCAGGGTCTGCACAGCTATTATCCCTAATGTACTGGCTGCACCAAGTGGCAATAACTCAGTCAGCTCTGTGCTTTCTAAACCAATCCTCAAACCCACTCCATCAATTTTTGTGTGTGAATAGTGTTAGTTCCTGTTGCTTGCTATTGCTAAAATCACATGCTTTTCACTGCATCTAGGTTCCAAAGCAGTAAGTACTGTTTGTTAAATCTGCGGAGATTTAAAGTATTCTTTATCAATACACCACAATTTTTATTGCTAAGAAATGATTTTTTTTCATTGTCAGGCTAGTTCTATAGATCTCAACTGGCAAATTTTGAAGGAGTTGCTATAGATTTCAGTGCTGTAGGGATTTTTTTCTTTCTAATCAACCTAACACTATGTAATTGATTACACCGCTAGAACTCTACCTAATATTTACACTGTAAAAGTGAGCTTTCCATTTAAAAATAGCACCAGTAGATCTTTAGATTTTACAACTAACCTAGTCAGAAAACATTATAGAGATGAGGATAAGTTCTATCCCTGAAACTTTACCCCTACACATTTTCATTTTTAAAACAGTAGTAGTCTAGCCCATACACTGGCTAGGCAAGTAAATTATTGAGTCTTAAGTATGTTCTCGAGATTAAAAAGATAAAAAAGACAGATGGCTGCACTTTATTAGAGGAAATTGGCATGTAAACAAAAAGTTTACAAATCTATGTATTAACTATTGGGATAGAGATATGTAAGAGACACTGTGAGTAATTTTTGTTGTTTTATTTGTGTTCAACAGATGGAATGATCTATTTTACCTGAAGAGAGTGGAAGGATCAAGGAAAGGTCTGTAAGAGGGTGAAGGTATATGGCTTATATCCTGAGGAATCTTTCCAAGTATAAAAGACGGGGAAAGACTCTTTAGTCAAAGGGAAATTATAGACATACCTTGTTTTATTGCACTTTGCTTTATTGTGCTTCACAGGTATTACATCTTTTACAGATTGCAGGTTTGCGGCACTCCTGAATTGAGCAAGATCATCAACACATTTTACTAACAGCATGTGCTTACTTGGTGTCTCTGTGTCATATTTTAGTAATTCTCGTGATATTTCATTGCTTTCTATATTATTGTATCTGCTGGAGTTATTGGTGATAAGTGGTCTTTGATGTGACTATTGTAATTGTTTTGGGGCACCTCAACTGTATCCCTATGAGATGGCAAATTTAATCAATAAGTGTTGTGTGTCTTCTGACTGCTCTACCAACAAGCCATTATTCAATCTCTTTCCCTGCCTTCAGGCCCCCCACCAATCTCTGTAATACAACAATATTGAAATTTGGCCCCTAAGTGTTCAAGTACAAGGAAGAGTCACACATCTCTCACTTTAAATCACCCTTGTCCAACCCACAGCCTGTGGGCTGCCTGCAGCCCAGGACAGCTTTGAATGTGGCCCAACACAAGTATGTAAACTTTCTTAAAGTTATGAGGGTTTTTTTTTTTTTTTTTTTTTACAATTTTTTAAAGCTCATCGGCTATTAAGTATTAGTGTATTTTATGTGTGGCCGAAGACAATTCTTTTTCTTTTTCCAATGTGGCCCAGGGAAGCCAAAAGATTGGACACCCATGCTTTAAATCAAAACCTAGAAATGGTTAACTTTAGTGAGGAAGGCATGTTGAAAGCCAAGACAGGCAGAAAGCTAGGCCTCTCGTGACAAACAGCAAAGTTGTGAATGTAAAAGAAAAGTTCCAGAAGGAAATTAAAATTACTACTCTACTGAATACACTAATGATAAGAAAGTACAACAACCTTATTGCTTATATGGAAAAAGTTTTAGTGGTTCAGATAGAAGATCAAACAGGCCACAACATTCCCTTAAGCCAGAGCCTAATTCGGAGCAAGGCCCTAACTCTTCTATTCTATGAAGGCTGACAGAGGCAAGGAAGCTGCAGAAAAGTGTGAAGCTAGTAGAGGTTGGTTCATGTGGTTTAAGGAAAGAAACTGTTTCCATGATATAAAAGTGCAAGGTGAAGCAACAAGTGCTGACAGAAAACTGCAAGAAGTATCCAGAAGATCAAGGTGAGATTGTTGATGAAAGTGGTTACACTAAACAGCAGATTTTCAATGTAGACCAAACAGCCTTCCACTGGAAGAAGTTGCCATCTAAAACTATTACAGCTAGAGAGGAGAAGTTAACGCATGGCTTCAAAGCTTCAAAGGGCAGGCTGACTTTCTTATTAGGGGCCAGCGCAGCTGGTGACTAAGTTGAAGCTAATGTTCATTTACCGTTTTGAAAATTCTTGGGCTCTTAAGAATCATACTAAATCTATTTTGCCTGTCTTCTATAAATGGAACAACAAAGCCTAGATAATAGCACATCTGTTTATATCATGGTTTACCGAATATTTTAAGCCTACCGTTGAGACCTACTGCTCAGAAGAAAGGTAGTTTTCAAAGTATAACTGCTCACTAACAATGCACCTTGTCATATCAGATCTCTTCTAAAGATGTACAAGAAAATAAATATTGTTTTCATACCTGCTAACATAATATTCATTCTGCAGTCAATGGACCAAGGAGTAATTTTGACTTTCAAGTCCTATTATTTAAGAAATACATTTAATAAAGCTACAGCTGTCCTAGATGGTGATTCCTCTGTTGGATCTGAGCAAAGTAAATAGAAAATCTCTGGAAAGGAATTAGCATTCCAGATGCCAATAAGAACGTTTGAGATTCATGGGAGGATGTCAAAATATTGATGTCAGAGGACTTTGAAAGACATTGATTTCAACCTCATTGATGATTTTGAGGGGTTCAGGACTTCAGAGGAGGAAGTAACTGCAGATGAAGTGAAAATGATGAGAACTAGAGTTAAAAGTAGATCTTGAAGATGTAACTGAATTGCTGCATTCTTATTGTAAAACTTGAAAAGATGAGGAGTTGCTTCTCATGGATGAAGAAATAAAATGATTTCTGAGATGGAATCTCTTCGTGGTGAAGAAGATGTGAACATTGTTGAACTGGCAATAAAGGACTTAGAATATTATGAAAACTTGAGTTGATAAAGCAGTAACAAGGTTGGGGAGGACTGACTCTAATTTTAAAAGAAGTTCTACTGAGGATAAAACACGTTCAAATGACAGAGAAATCTTTTATGACAGGAAGAATCAAGCAATGTTGCAAACTTTGTTGTTTTATTTTAAGAAATTACGGCAGGCACCCTGACCTTAGGCAACCATCACCCTGATTGTTCAGCTGCCATCAACATCAAGTCAAGACCCTCCACCAGCAAAAGATTAGGGCTCACCAAAGGCTCAGATGATTGTTAGAATTTTTAGCAATAAAAGTATTTTGAAATTAAGGTATGCACATTATTTTTTAAACATAATTTTGCACACGTAGTAGGCTATAATACAGTGTAAACATTTATAGGCATTGAAAAACCAAATAATTTGTGTGACTTGCTTTGTTCCTACATTTGCTTTACTGTGGTGGTGGTCTAGAACCAAATCTCCAATATTTCCAAAATATTTAAAAGGGCACAATGTCAGGTGAAAGCCTGCCCCTTTTTCCTTCATGTTAGTAAAACTTCTCTTTCAGTGTGATTTTAATCTTTAAGGTAACATATGTCATTTACAACCCAATTTCAGGTACATGGATTGGATAATAAAGGTGAAGGGTACAGTTTTGTGGTTTTAAAAAAGAGGTATGATGAGATTGAATTTTATGCCTGGATCATAACTTACTGTGAAGGGAATTTTTATGCCAGAAAAAATGAAGAGTCAATATTTCTGAAATAAGAATGAATTTTGGAGGAGGAGAGGTCATAACTTCTATAAATACATAAATTTAAAAAGGTATGATAACCTTTACAGTTCAGAAGAAATACTATTTACTCAAAGCTTTTCCAGATATTATAATTTATTTAAAACTATTTAACAATGTGGGTAAATAAATATCCATTCCCTGGAAAAATAATTAGATCAAAGTCTGGATACCATATTGAAAAGGTGTTTGAGGCTTCCCTCTTTATCAATAAGACAAGAAGAGATAATGCAAAATGTTTTATTCTTTTTAATATAAACTAGGTAACTGAAGTGGTTGGTGCATGGAGGACAATATGACTATATAAAAATAATTTTATTATTCAGCCTAATTTCTACACCCATAAAGGAAATGTTGTGACATTGTTGTTATAATCACAACCTCTTTTGAAAAGGCAACGTATTGAAATAAAATGTAATATGAATAAATGTTTCCAAAAAAGCCAAAAGACTGTGGGCATGTACCTTAGTGATTATTCTTGAGATATATGTTTATGAAGTGGTACTTGATAATTGTGATTTGTAATATCAACAGAGTAGTTTCTAGTAGGCTCAAATTCTTGATGAGGTTAATTACACAACAGAAATTGTTCTTTTCCTGTTCACAAGCTGGTATCTTCATTTCTGTACACAAGCCCTTTCTTATTTCTACCATGTTGTTAAAACTGATTTTCTTTAACATTCTCCTATGACACAGATCAACAGGGGAATCATTTCTATTAAAGGAGATCTTTAGAATGAAATCAACTGTGGAATGTTTTACAAATGTGGTTCAATAAACTCCATATAATTTCAAAAGAAAATGATGCATATAAGAGCATCTTGGGAATTAGCATAAAAAACACCGTTTCACTTAGACTCATGCAAGAAGGACCTTTGGGAGAATAGGACTACTTTCAAATAGCCTGGTGGAAAAAGAAATCTCTTATTGGGGTTCTAAAGAACAAAATTTGCATATTAATAGAAGATTAAAGTGCCCATCAAGTATTCTGAAGCAGTTACTTTCTCTTGTCTATTTTGTTCTTCACATAAACATCTTTCATAATAAAAAGAAACTTGTGCCTTTGCTGCTATTTCAATGAGTCTCCAAGGTTTCTTATTACAATAGGACAGATTTTTAAAATGTCTGAAACCCTTGAATAAAGCTCTTTGGATTTTAATTTATTAACACAATAAAGGGGTTACTTTTAGGAAAAAATAGAACAGTTTAGAAGAAAGGATATATCAGAATTTTTTTTTTAAGAAAGACTCCCTCCACCAAAAAAAGAAATAGAAAAACAATATATACAACTGATAAATAAATATGAACTCGAAAACTCTTATAATGAATAATATATATTTCAAAAATAAATGTTGGATGTAGTGACAACAAAAAGAAAAAAAGGAAACATTTGTAGGTGGCAAAAAAGTCCTGTGTCATTCTAATAGAGTTTCATTGCAGTAAAAATACAATTGCATTTCTCATGTTAGTTTCTGATAATATCCTTGCAATATATTGCAATAAGATTGGTGTTCTTTAAACTAATCCATAAAATTTAAAATTCAGAACTATATTTGAAATAGAAAATATAGAGCAAAATAAAGGAAATTTGTAAGGTAAGAATGTGTACCAAATTTAGGCAGGAAACAGAATTTATTCATTTAACAACCAAGGATGTGGCAGTCAGAATAATATTCTGCACACTTAATGGGTTTCCCTCAATTTCTCCCTCTTTGTCCCCCTCACCTGCCCATTTCTGTTTCTTTTGGTTTTACAGCTGCCTTCAAGTTCAAAGACCTGAGAATATTGCCTTTCTACTGCTTTATCTGGAGTTTAAAAAGGAGCAGTCATATTTAGTCATATGAAACATAGATTTTTTTCACTGATTTTAATATAAACGACTGCTATTTTTCAGATGACTTCTCTAAGATGGACAGTTTACTTTGTAAAGAACAGCATCTTTCTGTCTCTTCAATTAAGAATGTGTGGAATAAAAGTGAATCATATGCGGATTCGCTTTCCACATTCTCTCTGGGTGTTAAATATGAAATAACCATTTCCATGATGATTAGGCTGGTATTCCCGTTCTATGAATGTATTATATGCAGCCTCAGCTTGAAAATCATACCTTTTACAATGGACTTTTGTGCGCCTATTTGGTCTGTCTTCCCTGCTTTCAGTTCCTAGCCCTCTCTAACCCCAATGACAAAGAAGACCAGAAAAGTGTGAGGACTACAGCTATGAGGGCTTTGGAAAACTCATCTCACGTGGAAGTGCCCTTCTTTTCTCTCACTTTGAAGATACTTGCACAGCGTACTTGTTAGCAGTACCAGGCATTCCTGGGCCCCGGCCTCAGCAACTTGCTGCCAGGGCACACGGTCTGGGGCATTCACTGAGAACCAGCGCCAAGTCTTGGCTGAATCTCGGTGCTCCCAAATATTCCCTTTTTGTTTGTTTGTTCTTTTGCTTTTGCTGATCTAATTTTAGTCCTTTGACTTTCCTATCCTACCTTAAATATTTTAGTATTTGCTCTGGTTTCATGGTGTGTTTCTCGCACTCAATCCCTTTCAGACCTAAGGTGCTTCCAACT